ACAAAGTTGCCGCCGACAAAGGAGACACAGATGCATAAGAGCATTGCGGATCGGATTTGCAAACCTGTCTCTAGTAGTTCAGTAGAATGTGAGAGTAGCTGATCTCCAGTAGTCACTCCAACTGACATGGCTTTGTGGCCACGGCTTTAAGGATCACAAACCTACCTTGTAATCCTGAGGTCGCAGATTCGAGCCTGCATAAGGGACCGAGGGACCCACGCAGTGTCCTTATCCCGCGCTCGACTGGTGGTGGTTGTGCGGCAGCGAAGCGTCGGTGCTGCATACCGGCGTACTGCTGATGTCTCTTTATGGGGTTGTCTCCTCTAGCTCGAATACCTTTCAACTACCTATAATTAAACAAATCACTAGAGTGTTTCTTATTAGCGCCCGATCTCATAATAATATCTCCGTCAAACTGCATAACTCACAAACCCTCACATTGTTATGATCACGGAACAGTGGCTCAATGATCAGACATACAAGTCCCACTGCTATATTTTAGGATACAACAACTATTCAAGCGTTCGCCACATTGGCAGGGAAGAGGATCGCATTATTTACACTAATGATATGGTTCACTGGTTACCTTGGATTGAACTAAAGCTTGAGAATTTCGTTGACAGCAATAATAAACAATTGCACTTTCAAAATTTGGAGGAGACTCTGAGGATAGTCAGACTACTTCACTTGAACTTTTTCGTTAACCACTTTCCTCTTACTGTCAACTTCTATAGCGTCAACATATTTAACTGGCCGAAGATCTCGAAAACTGACCTGGAAGCTCCTTTGGAAGGAGTGAACAAATATCTATCCTTTGCGATCTTGGTGTACTTCTTGATCAGACAACCAAATTGGACCCTATCTCGCACAGTCGAGAAATGTACAACTTACGTAAACTGCCGCACTGCAGCTGCAACAACCATATTCCACTACATCACGGGGCGCGCACAAAATTATAAGTCGGTTGGAGATTACTTCAATAGGCCAGAAATAAATTGGCGCTCTTTTACTTCACCAGAGATTGATGGAATTTGTCTCTAATATTTGTTCACACAGTTGAACTCAACATGCTTTGTCTCTGACAAGGAATGTCAGCATATTCGATCTTCTTCATTTTGGGTGTTTCTAATGGAAAGATCACTATGCTCAATATCTTTTCGAATAGTGATCACAGCCTTGTGGCATTCAAAACCAAGTTGCCTGTAAGAGTAAGTAAGCCGGAATTTTGTGGCAAGTTTTACCGGCCACATCGCTTAATGGACTGGGAAATATTCGCAACACTAAGATCGAATCAATGGGATAGATTCTTTCTTACATGTGACCCTGAAGAATCAGTTGAAGCCTTCTATCAGAATGTTAACCAATGTCTAGATATCCTTGCCCCTGTAAAGTGAAAGAAACACCAAGGAAGTACAAGAAGCAACATTATCGCCGCAAATAGCAAATGAAAAATACGCGTGTTAGCAGCGTCTACAGGAAAATGCATGGTTTTACTACACTGTATTAACTTCGCAACCTACTTAGCAGATTGGAAGCACGCTGAGCTGAAAGGCAAGGTTCTGAAGAACGTCGACATCTCGCACGTTCTAACAAGCAAACGAAACTTATCGAGATACTTAAAAGTAGGGGATTCCGAAATGTCAGCATCACATCTACTGTCCTATTTACATTAATAGCAAACGAAGATCGTGCAAATAGTTGCAATATTTTTAATAAGCACCTTTGTTGATCCTTTAATGAGGCCACGTACGCAAGGCCAACTGTTCCACCAGAGTTGGTGACAACAAGCACTACTCATAAAGAAACAAAAAAGCTTCTTCAGTATGCTTCCGGACTGGGACAGAGCTGGCTGGCATCGACAAAGTGAGCAAGTTTTGCCGCTGGATAGGGCTATCGCGTCCACCATGTTTTAAAAGGACTGTAGGATTGTCATCGGGGTCGTCTTGGAACGATGGCTTTGAGGTGTTGAGAATCCTCAAAGTTGGATTTGCAGTACACCCTCCCAACCATATGGTTTGATTGCGAAACGCAATCTCTACTGAGACCTCGGTTCGCTTAGAAGTAGAGTTCGGGCATTCCGACCACAAGGACGGTATCCGAAATGGAGATGTTTCCGTGTCGCTCCTCCTATCACTGACATCTCACGGCCGGTTTCGCTCTCATTTCGAGACATCAGGTAGAGATAGCTTGAGCTAGGGTGGAACCCAGGGCTTCGTGACTAACAGATGGGTAAAACGGAAACAACTCTATTTCGGATATGCTCCCTGTGATCGGAATGACCGAGGTCTCAATAGAGATTGCGTGTCGCAATCAAACCACACGGCAAGTACTTCGAATTATTTGCCGTTGTGCCAAACGTTGCTCGCGGATCTTAGTGGCATAGTGACCAAGGCGTCAGTCTTTAACCACTAGCCCCCCCCCCACTTCCATCCCAGTTCAGGCTACCTCCATCTGATGAGTCCAACCCAGGAGGAAATCGGTTATGGGGTGTCAGTGATGGAAGGAGCAACGATGAAACACCGCCACTGCCGATACGGTCCTTTTGATCAGAATGACCGAAGTCCACCTCATGGTGATTCGAGGTCTCAATAGAGATTGAGTGTCGCAATCCAACCACACGGTGGGGGGGGGGGGTACTGTGATACCAAGTTTGAAGATTCTCAGCACCGCAAAGCCATCGTGCCAAAGCGACTCGGACGGCACTTCTCCAAACCTCCTAAAACATGGTGGCCGTAATAGCTCTATCCAGCGGCAAAACATGCTCACTTTTCGATGACAGTCAGCTCCGTCCCAGCCCGAAAGCATGCCGAAGTAGTTACACGTTACAAAAAAGGCTCAAATCGATGTAACAAACTAGCGCCCGGTCATTCATATCTCCATCCTGCTTAAAGCATGGAAAAGGTTGTAAAAGAAAAACAGAAATTTCTACTCACCAAAAAACTTATTAGCCCGAATCCTTAAGGTTTCACTAAACATAGTTCTTGTCACTTTTGGCACTTGGAACCAGCAAACCACATAAGAAAAGCTGCCAAAGAGGATGACCACCGTGTTATTATACTTCTGAATTTACAGAAGGCATTTGACCAGTTACCTCATGGCAAACCTTCGGCATCGTTTAGTACAGATGATCGCTAACCCATTTGCTTCATCGTTTCTTAATGGCAGAAATCAAGCAACCAGTATTGAAAGCCAAATTTCGTGTCGCAGCCCTGTAACAAGTTGCGATATCCAGGGCAGCGTTCATGATTATTTACTATTGCTTATGTACAGCGACTATGTTACCGATGTATTTGTCGACGGTCGCCCTTACATGTTTGCCGTTGATATAAAAGTTGTGTACACCTGCCATCCGACAGACCAGCAGGTTGCGCTTAGCAGTGAACACTGATCTAGACGTTTTTCATGTGTGATGCGCTAGACCAAAAGTGCGTTTCTCAGTTCAAAAGTTATATATATATATATATATATATATATATATATATATATATATATATATATATATATATATATATATATATATAGTGCCCCATGCTGAGGCTGATGTCGCATTCATGATGCTTCTTCACCGCAGTTGGGCTAAACCAACTTACACTTAAACTAGGTCTTTTTAATGTGGATAAAATTCATTCCATTTTGTTTCGTTTGTTCTGCGCACTTGATAATCATCTCCCAACTTACACACGTCGCTCATGCAAATTGTTGTAAACTTGCGTGCTTTTTATCGCGTGGTATTTTTGAAATAACTTTCGGACGTTTTGTACTTATCGCGTATTCACATTTAAAACTTTCTTCCATATGCTCATTTAGCGAGTATTTATGTCGTCATATGCGTTTACTTTATTCGATATCGGTATTTCGAATGATTGGCTGTTGTTTGACATCCCAGGAGTGGCTGCGCTTGATGTGCATGTTGACAAGGTGCCTACCTGTCTATTACCCACTACCTCGTCCATACTGGCTCCAGGAGACAGTTGGTCGTTGCTGGAGGGGACGGGGTGCACGGTCGTTGTGGCCGTGCTAGGCTCGAAGAGTGGTTCCATACACTCAGTGTGGAGCGGACTACGGTCCAGCCACCGCCTTGTGTGCGCTTGATTCCCCAAATACAGTGTGCTTGTGTTTGCCTGTGAAGGAGTGTGGGCCGGCTCCGTTGATGAAACGTGGCTCCCATCCGCATGCCTCCTGGTCTTATTCCTTCGGGTTTACACTGGATATGGGGTGTGTGGTTGGAGCTGTGGTTGGTGCAGCGCAAGTCGTCCATGGTCCCTCTGTAGGCGCAGGCGTCCTGTGGCTTGCCACAGTGACAGGCAAATCCGAAACCGGATGCCGCCAACCATATATATATATATATATATATATATATATATATATATAAAGATGGACGTCACGCACTGTCGAGAAATATACCTGTATATTTAATCAGAATGAGTGCAATCGAACGAAAAACCGAACTAGCATGTTTCATGACCAAGCATATTGTGGTTCCCGTGGGGATGCATTTGAAAGTGAGGAGAGATGTCTCCATAGATCGGCGAATGAAAAACAATGAAGTAAATGGAATTAAACTGCGGAATCTAGCGTTCGGTTTGATTTGCAGTCGACTCGGAGGGGTAGGGATGGAACACTACCGCGACCCACAAGAGGATCAAAGGGCGCTGGATGGCTCAATTACTGATGAGAAAGTGTCGCCTGTGGAGGAGGCGCCAACGGACCGCACCAAATGCACTTCATCTACGACGAGAGGCTCAATCGCGCATGTACTGAAAACAACACAGGCTCGGCTCAGTAGACAAGGATACAATTGTCAAGTAGGAAGACACAGGAAGTACTGTTTGAGCATGGTTCGGGAGAAAAGGTGAAGTGCTCTACCCATTGTAACAAGGCTTGGGGGAGTAGAGACCTCAAGTGGATTTCGAAAAGTATGTCTGCACATAGTGAGCCTGCGTTCGTTTGGTCATGTGAAAGCGACACGGATGCAAGTGAAGGTGAAAGAAACCACTTACTTGTAACACAAACTTCGTATCAAAATATCGTTTGGCCACATTGGGTTGGAAAGACGAAGATTCAATGAACCGGAGAAGGAAGTCGTATACCAGCTGATGAGGGACACAAAAAAGGTAGCAAATTAATCATCTAGGTAGACCTCGGTCGATCAGGTGAGATGTGTGAGCTAGAGCGGAAAGTTGACGGATGAAATGACCTGTAGGAAGGAGACGAAGGGATTAGTCATATGGAACATTCGTACCCTTAATCGCCTCAAAATGGCACAGGAACTAGAGTACTGTTTGTTGTGTACGAACTATCCTAAAGAAAAATAAACGAAGGAAATCGCAGAGATGGCCCTGCATGGTCCGTAAATGCCTGGTAACCTATCTGATTGTAGCAACGTGTCGAGATCTATGAGTCGAGAGAAGACACCATGGGTATGCAAAGTGAAGTCACCCAACGGCAACACGGGAGAACAGTGAGCAAGAAGTTACAAAGTTTGAATTCGGCGCCTACTTTTTCCTATAACCCTGTTAAACGACCTGCTCGTTTCTGGAGTTCAACGTTCATTAGTACTTATGCTTACAGACTACTTTGCCAACCACACGTTGTTTATCAGGAATGTAGGAAAGCTCTTCCGCACTCAACACAAATTCCAGTGTATTCAGGGAGCAACTTTGTGCCCATTCGTATTTGCTACCTGCATTAGCTCAATTACCGCTCCAAAGGGAGCCATCCTGTTGTAGTATGCGGATGACGTGTTCTCTAGTGTACACAAACACACCACAGATTCGTCGGCTAACTTGCAATGTTTCTTGGACAACTTCACAGCCTGATACAAACCACGATGTCTTTAATTCAAGGGACTCCCCGGTGGCCGAGTGGTCTGCACGCCTGGCTTTTAATCATAAAGCCCTCGGTTCGAATCCGCCTATGGGGCCGGCGTCCTCGCGGTATACTCAGCCTACGCGCGGCTGGTGGTGGTCGCGTGGCAGCGGAGCGCCGTCACAGCGTACAGCTAACGCATTATTATTGTCGGCCGGTGGCCGAGTGGTCTTTACGCCTTGCTTGCAATCATAAGGTTACCGGTACGAATCTGCGTAGAGGCAGACGTCCTCGCGGTATACTCAGCCCGCGCGCGACTGGTAGAGGTCGCGCGGCAGCGAAGCGCTGTTACGGCGTACAGTTGACACGTCATTACTATTAGTATTTTAACTCAACACATCAAGGTGTGAAGATGTCAGTTTCTCGCTGTCCAAGAAAACTTGTTTTCAGCGGTTTCTCACGCGCACTCCTCTTCGTAGTATTGACAGTGTCAATCGAAACTCCTGTACATTTGTGAAATCTCTAGGAGCCACACTAAATCAGGATCTCACGTGGTCCCATCACGTGAATGAAACATTTACTAAAGTCAGGAGACTAATGTACTGTGTCGCCCGAGTTACGTCATGATTGGTGCCTCGTTAATTAATTCTACGGTTTATCACCGTTTGCGTAATACGGCACTGGACGTAGTGCTCGAATGCGGCTTCTCCTGGACTACAAAACGGACATCTTAAAATGGTCAAAAGGTCAATGAAGCATCTTGGCTCAAGGTAGCGGAATATCGACGTCAGAGTTTACTGACATCCCTGTGTTGAATCACGTTCACTCCTGATAAAAACTAGCGTCCAAAATACTCACTGACGCCAGTCACCCTCTCCATCGTGCATTGTCGGAAGGTATCTAGACTTCCGAGACTAGACAAACGTACAAAGCTATTTATGCCCGGACACGGGCTTACGGTGCGTCAACTGTTCCCTATTTGTCACGTTTTCTGAGGGATCAGTGTGTCAGCTGTACGCCGTAACGGTGCTTTGCTGCCGCGCGACCACCACCAGTCGCGCGCGGGCTGAGTATGCCGCGAGGACGCCCACCCCTACGCGGATTCGAACCGGTGACCTTATGGTTGCAAAGCAAACGTGCAGACCACTCGGCCACCGGTCGACATGAAGTCAAACAACTAGTTGTATGTATGTAACCTTAACAGTCTATTAACTAGACGTAGAGCCAGAATAAAACCATGGAGATCAGGAGATAAGCAAGAACCATCGCGTCATAATCATCGTGACATGCTAGTTGAAGGTGAATAACACACTTCAACTAATATGCCGCAGGAAGAATGGAACATTTTGACAAAAAGTAGAACAAAACATTTTTAGTTTGTTTTCACACGCCGCTTTTGCTCTTTTGTTTGTCATTTTCAATGTTTGTAGTATTAAACACGTGAATCAATACAAAATTGTACACAATTCTTCCATTGATTCCGGTTGCGGGCCATGTCTTCAAGAGTGTTAAGCCATTGGCACTCCTCATCTTTGGGTCCCCATCCTGGAAGACGTACGGATCCAACAGCGGCTAGACACGACGTCAGCGATTTCATGTGCTGCCGCCAAGTGGAAGGCTGACCACCACGCGGTCGCCTCCAGCCAAGTCCTTGACGAGCGAATAGAGCGCACCATATACATTGGTTATACTTTTTAATTTTTGTCTTTAGCGTGTGCGTTGCAGCTGAACATTCACTCTTCTTGGATGCATAAAGCGCATTGTTGCATTGACGTGACGCAGATGGTTCATTTTATCGATCGACTTCAAGCACCATGGGGTAGTAGGCAACAGGGAAGCAATGTGCTCTTGATCCGACGTCAAAAGTTTATGCGGTAGTGCACCCATCCGACAACAGTGTCATCACGTGCTCGGAGAAGTCCAGTAAACCGGTAATAGATGGCCGAAACGCATGATAAACCAGCTGGTGGCAGTCAAGTGACAATAGGGGGTTTGTCGGTACGGGCGAAAAAGAACAGTTGGGGACCACACGTGCACATGCACAAAGACCTGTGGACTACAGCGACATTGACCATCCACGAAAGAAAATGCCGCATAGGCGAAAAGATAACCAACTGGATTAGCGGCGCTCAGTTGAACTGACAGATCGGGACAATGGAGGCATGTGGTCTGGCTTAGGTCAAAAGTACAGATTAAGAACGTGATCAGCCTTTGCACAAGGGTGGCCAGAACGGAAGTGTGGGATTGGATCATTCGCACATCATGGACGTCATCCGATTCGAAGCGTTCCATTGATTCCCCCTTTGATGGCGAACCCAGCGAACAAACACACACACACACACACACACACACAGATTCACATTTACCTACTCACACAACATGGCTACTTCCAAATACACACTTAAACTTACTTCTACATGTCAACACACACACAAATAAATTCCTATGCTATTTGACAAAATGTAATAATTTGTCCAAGTGCCGATCACACATCTTTGTAGTACCATGATTATGCCCTTGATGGTGTGATTGGCAATGAGGAGAAAAAATTATTTATTTATTTATATCAAGGCATGACAAATAGAAGGTGGCTAAGTTGAAAAGGGACGCCGGGTAGGGGGGGGGGCAGTAGTCGGACCAATCAGTAGTTGAAAATGCAAGGAGACTGGAAGGAAACAACGCCTAATTCAGATGCAAACGCGTGTCACAACAGGACTGACTCGGTTGCACACACACAAACTCAAACAGTGGATGGTACATCGTGAGCATCGTCGTCGCGGTGGGATAAGGAAATGGGCTGGTGGCTGCAGCATGTTGAAGGACTCATTGGTGAAGGAGACGGCGCTCAACAACCTTCGATCTGAAGGTAGCTGGCATGTGATTTAAGTTGCGGTAGGAAAAATGGCCTGACCAGCGACCCGCAAGCCATAACCAGATTTCAATATAGCATGAGAGAATGCACCAAGCCCGAATGCTCTATTCTGATTCGGCATCACAATGACCAAGTTGTTTTGGCTGCTAATCGGCACGGACAAAAGCTTTTCACCGATAGCACACCAAGTACAGAGTAGTTAACTGAATTCGGGTCGGTACGGCTTAAGTGATCTAGCCGACAAAAGTGGTGCACGCGAAATGAGCCTGGTAACGAAACAGAGAACGTCACACGACTGCACTGAGAGCTAGGCAATAGGGGTCGATAGGTCCATTTGGAGACCTCGATCTTCCTGCGGATTGACATGCCTCAATGTACGCACATTACTACAAATCGGTCAAAAGGCAGCATTTGCCCGAACTTCGGAGGCTCTCTTCATCGATATCTGCTGCTTCTCGGAGACCCGCCTGCAAGACACGAGCTCTGTGCTCACTCTGCGATCTTCTTCAGGTGACACCAGCAGCACTTTCTCATCGCGTCTACCCGGTGACGGTGCAGCTTCGAGCACCGGCCAAGCCTGTGTTGGCATTGCCCTGAGTCCGCGGGCTGAAGCTGCTCTGGTTGATTGGATTCCAATCAGTAGCCGGATGTTTGCGGTCCGACTGGCTGGCTCGTTCAACGCTTCGAAGTCGCGCGAGACTAATAGATGTCTATTCATCATCGCTGCATACGCGCCCACAAACTGCAGCGATGATTCGGTAAAGAACGATTTCTACCGCTAACCGACAAGCTCCTTTGTCACAGTAGAAGCACGGACACTGTTGTGCTGGCTGGGGATTTGAACGCACAATTTGGAAAGTTCTCCACTGATGAAATGCATCTAAGCGGTCAACGCGGTGTAGGCTTCCGATATGATAACGGTGAGCGGTTACTTCATTTGTGTGAAGATGCTCGCTTATTTCTTGCGAGCACTAATTTCCGACACAGCACCCGCCGGAGGGTGACTTGGCGCCCACCAGCCTCGAACCAGCCTTGGACGCAAATCGATCATACTGCAATCAGTTACCGCTGGAGAGGCTGCACCCAGAATTGTCGCTCGATTTGGAGCACATGTGTGAACACCGACCAAGCAATGGTATGTGCTGACATGAGGATGCGTTTTAACGGACGACCATGACAACGCCATGAGCGCATTGACACCAGCCAACTGACGATGGCAGCCGTAGTGGATGCCTTTCAAACTACGCTGACATGAGTTGAGTAAATGCTCACTGGAGACAAGTGAAGGCCACGGGTCTCATATTCACCACATCTTACTAGCATCAGGCAAGTCCTCATGTAGTAAGTCAAATAGCCAACATGGATATTGGGTCTCTTCGCGGTCTGTGGAACTTATCGATGCTCGCCGGCATATTTCGGCTGGAAGCGAACCCAATGAAACTCGCAAAGAGCTCCGGGCCAAAGTCCGTGCTAGCCTGAAGAGAGACCACGAATCCTGGTGGTCTCATCGTGCGTCGCAGATGGAAGTGTCCGTTGCCCTTGGTAATCATCGAAAGTTATTCCGTCTGATACCGAAAAATGGGCAGCATGAAATCTGGTGTTAGTGAAACTAAAGGTGACAAGAGTGGACAGCCTATTCACAACTTGTCAAAACGTTTGGAGCGCTGGGCTGAGCATTTTCAAAGCAATTTAATCGACCGGAATGGTTTGATTCCTCACAGGACAGTGATCGCAATGCTCATTGGGCTGTCCCTGTGGATCCACCCTCTCGCTCAGAAGTCAAACGTCAGATCGGACTGTTGAAGCCAAATAAAGCCGCGGGACCAGATGATCTATATCCAGCCCACTTCATATCCGGGGGCTCTGCTTCTGTTGATAATATACACGAATTACAAGCGAAGCTGTGGGAGTAGGAAAGTTTCCCAATCGACAGGAGCCGATCCATTATTGTTCCCACCTTCAAATGAGGCTCGCGCACGGAATGCGGCAACCAAAAAGGAATCAGTCTGATCTCCATCGCCTCCATAATTCTTTACAGACTGACTGGCACTCGTAAAAGCTAGATTGCTGAGGAGCAAGCCCGGTTTCGTCAGGGTCATGGCTGCATTGACCACACCTTCAGCTTGCGTCAGTTGTTCGAGCATAGTCACACAGATTGGCGGCCCATCGCAGTCGTGTTCCTCGACACCAAAGGCGCCTTCAATTCGGTTGATCAAAGTGCCCTTTGGAACTGCCTACTCAGGAAAGGTGTGCCCGAAAAATATGTAACTATTATCCGAGCATTAGACGCGCGTAGATCAGGCAGAATGAGGGCTTACGGCAAGCGGTCGCCACCCTTCAATATCTCCAGCGGTGTGGGACAAGGATACCCGTTATCACCTTTTCTCTTCAACTTCGCTATTGACGAAATCATGGAGATTGAATGCACAGAACACGACTTAAAATGTGTGGAGCTACTTGCAGGAAAACGACTGCTTGACTTGGAGTATGCAGACGACATTGCCCACATCTGTGACAGCTCCCAGACGTGAAAAGTTGCACTGGACAAATTAGCAAGGGCTGTCAGCCGCTTCGGACTGTGCTTTGCACAATCGAAGTGCAAAGCTATCCTCCAAGATTGGCAGGGATCGCCTCCTGCGACAAACCTTGGTGGGAATCAGCTAGAAGTCGTTCGGAAATTCAAATACCTGGGAAGCTGTATCAGCGCCTTTGGAATCGAAGGCGAGATCAAAAACCGCGTAAAGCTCGAAGTGCTTCTGCTAACCTTCGCCTCCTATGGCGGCGGCGCGACATCACTCTTCCCCTGAAGGGTAAAGTGTACGTTCAACCTTACTGTATGGTTGCGACACTTGGCCCCTAAGATCAACGGACATGAAGAGGCTAGTTACGTTCGACCAACGGTGCCTTCGCACGTTAGCCCACATCTGGTGGGAACACCGTGTGAGCAACGAGCGTGTTCGACGCCTTGTTTACAGCGTAGAAACAGGAACTGAACCACTCAGCACCGTCAATCCACGCAACATGCACCGATGGCTGGGCCACGTGTTGCGCATGCCAGCCCACCGACTCCCACGACTTGCGTTCTTTGCTCGCCGGGGATATGGATGAAAGAGGAGGGATGGCCAAGCGATGACTTGGTCCAGAGGAATGAAGGCCCTCAGTTCGGAGCTGGCCTCGGTTGGAGCGTCACGGCTCCCTGGTTGGGGAACAAAAGACGATGAACACGTTTGGCTGGATACACTTGCTGACATGGCTAAGAGCCGACCGCAGTGGCGTTCCTGCTGTGGGTTTCTTTGTCCCTCCCCATCCTTTTTAGTCTCCTCCTCCATCTACGATCTCATTTCGTAGGGTAAAACATAATACTTGTTCTTTGTGCCCGGAACGATGCCTATCCCTTGCTGGTAGCTCAGCTGGCATGCAATTGTTGTGTTTCTATTCTCTTCCTTTCGTATATTGTGGCGCAGTAGCTGGGTTTCACACCTCTAGCTAACGTGTATAATGATGATGATGATGAGCTCGCTTCGATGAGCTAAATGCCACTGAGCTGTCCTATATCCACATATTTCTTCAAAGCTGTCAACAAAATGGTCGTAAATGAATCTGTCCAATCTCATGCCACTTCCCACATAGTTATAGTTCTGCATCACTACCTAGTGCTAAGCCGACATTGTGCGGACGGCACACCTCCCTTCGAATACATACCAATTGCCATGAAAGCGTTGCCAAATAGGCTGATAGACAGAAGTGCATGATTTAGTGAATGCTTTGCACCACAAGGGAATGAGCCGACTCACCGCTTGATCTCACTACCATTGGACACCCCCGTTAGGAGTTATATTCAGCAATGTGATAGCAGCATCACACCTGGTAGCCATCATTAATACACATTACCTGAAGATGAGAAACCCACTTCAACCATTGTGCCGTAATACAAAAAGATGAAATATACAAAATAGCGAGATACGATACATTGTAATAGACAAAAACAGGTAACAAACTACCTAGTAACATATTAGGCATCAAAACAGAGATTGTGGTTGGAGTGGGAAGATAAGCGTGACAGGGAGGAACAAAGAAACTCAGATAAAGAATGGAATTGAGATCGGTTCCTTGCCAGGTCAACTAGTGTACCCAGCCAAAGGTATTCACCGTCGTTCTGTTCCCAACCCGGCAGTCGGAAGAACCCAACCGACGCCGTCCGAAGTCAGGAGCTGCATTCCTCTTGACTAAATCATGATTTGGCCTCCCCTCCTCTGGGGGTCACATCCTCGAAGTGGATGTTGCAGACATTGCTAAGGTGCATACGGCTTTTCAAAGAACTAGCCAATTGCGAAAACAAAGGAATGCACGCTTAGTGGTTGCGGGAAGGGCTTGTAGTGTTGCGACGTGACCAATATCGCTCTACCAGCGCGTCTAAACTCACTGGTACTTGGGGAGTATCGCAGCTGGTGTGTGTCCTATAAGCATTGCATAAGTTCGCTAACTGGTATTTGGAGAGGAATCCTCTGTTGTTCCACTGGGTTCGAACTATCTTCAGTCGCTAGACCATGTGCTCTGCATATTTTTGAGTCGAGTGCGTTTTTCATCACTATTGTACACAATCGAGTGAAGTCTATAGATACTCAGTCAATGATAGAGTAATGAGTGTGAAGAAACTCCTCGAAAGGCCGGTTTATGACGTCATTCGAGATGCCGCCCTTGAAACCAACGGTCACCCAGGTCCTTTGTTTCCGAAATTCTGACAAGGTTAACTGTTGTTCATTACCAACAAATTGTTGCTATTATGACAAATGATTTGTTTGGTGAAGTGGATCAAGGGAAATAGATGCGCCGCAACCATTCGTTGCATGGATCGTGGTTTGCAAAATGAGGTGAGGTACTTAAGAGCAGCAGAGAACGATTGATGAAATTTCGTCGCAGTGGCTTCCAATTCAGACTGTATTTAAAAAAGCGCGAGAAAGCAACAGACAGTCGTTTCGTCCAAATGGAACTTCTCAGTGGTGCGTATTCACAGGCTCCATCGGAACCGAACACATGATTACTAATGGCTTGTGTCACTAGCCAGCAGTTTTGATCGTTAGGCTAAAGGGCACTGTGGTGGTGGACCGTCATCTCTTGCAAGCTAAATGCGATATGGTGCAATGCATCCTCCACTGCCGCGCAAGTCACATGCGCTGTGGAGGACAGGGCTGGTACCGAGAGTCAGGGATGCCACCAACAGCAGTCATGTATGACATGATATTCTGAAGCTGTCATGGCGTGTGGAGAGCTATCTGACTTGGTAGTTGCTACGATGAACTTTTAATACAAATTGATGTGACTGATCTAAATGCCCGCACAGAAAATAGCACGGACCGACTCGGTAAAGCAGCTGGAAGAGCTTTTGCATCACTTTAAGCCTACAATTATGTGGTCACACGAAGATGCTGGAACATAAACTTCACAAGCTTTCTATTAGCATGCGAGGATCAAAGCTACCGCTTAGTGGATATGGCAAAATATCCGTGGAGACAGTTGGTATTGATGTGTCATTCTGGAAGGGGACATATTCACTCAGGGCAGTAACTTGGTCACTTCCAAGTGGGTTGAGTTGTCAGTCAGCAAGAAGCGACAGGGAAATGATCTCATATATCTATGGAGCAATACAAGATAGTAAATCCTGATATGTTGGTTGTAAGTGAGTATCCAATCTCGGGCAAGAGCGATGACTCAAACTAGAACTGAAACTGGAAGTTACCTTGACTATTACTCTGAGCAACGAGATAGCTATCTCGAAATGGGAATGTTATCAGATGAAGCTTTAGACAGGTCTAACAGATATAAGAAGTTTTGCGAACAGTTTCAGAAGCAATCAGTCCGAGCTTTCGACCAAATAACAGTAAAGGTGTAAGCGAGGGTGAGCTAACTGGATGAATAAATGCGATGCAGAGATGCGGTAAAAGCAAATAATGAAGAGAAATAACAGGAACACGCTAGGATAAAAAGGACCAACATTAGGAGTGCAACGGCGCGCCACCATCAGTCGCGTGCGGGCTGGAAATACAGTGAGAACTTCCGCACCTACGCAGATTCAAAGCGATGAACTTTGGGGGTTAGAAAACAGATGGCACATCTTTTCAGGCCACCTGCTGACCACCACTCCACGGTAAGATAAAACTCAGGCATGCATCTCACCTGTAGATGAGGCCATGCAGCCTCCAGCGTGGGTTCATCCTCTTCTGGATCGAATTCCGCTCCGGATGGGTTGCTCGGGGGTGGCAAAGTGCGGAACAAATTCGCCTCAACCATGGACACAACTTCTGGGTACATCGCATCAGTTATAATGCCCCCATGGTCCACTAGGTACTCAGTCAGTTCATGTAGCGCGTCCCGCTTTACCTCTTTGTCTTTCAAATCGGAGAGTATGTCTGGCACAAAATCGAAAACCACGGAGCACTGACCCAGCTTTTGGATGAACAGTTCTTCCCGCTTCTCCGGTGTCTCAGCATCTGGAAATAAAATAGTTTGTAATACGGACCGAACAGTCATGTAAGGGTGATTCGATGACAGTAAAAAAAAGTGGATCAATGTATAAAAAAGGCTGTGTTGCAGCAGTGAGTGGTTCAACGAAAACCGTAAAGACAAGAGTAGATAGCAGGAATTTTAGTAGTATGTAAAAGTTTTTGGACGGTAAAGGATGCGCACCAACCCAGAAGAGAATAAGATATTGCCATTCAAAGTAGGTACAGGACGGGATTAGTAAATCCAAATAGTGCAACGCGAGAACAGAGCTAAGCCAATTGTGTCCGGCAGCACAAACAGAAAGAGAGATAACAAAAACCACAGAATTTCAAGAGACAGTAGGTTGAAACTACAGGAACACTAACACGTTAGCTAACCGAAACTGGACATGCCCAAAAAACACTGCGAATGGAGGCTACATCAAAAAACACTGCAGTCGAGAAGACAGAATACCCATTTCAGTAGAAAAACAAACAAAGCAGGTGGAGCAAACAGTAAAGGGTAATCGGTCGAAAATAGGGATGGATTCAAAAGTATGGGTGTATGCGATCCTTTTAGCAGTAGGTGTAAATATATGTTCACATCTGAAAGTATGTAATATTAAAGTCTGTCAACGAGGCAGGGTTTAGTGTGGGGGACCACACGCATGTACGCGAACTGTTTGTCATTAAATATAAAAGTGCGAAGAGGTGGGGAGAAATGGCCAGAAAAACCGAAGCGAGTTGATGCAACTTAAATCGCTTTAATGGAATGAATGCTTGGTTGGCGCTCAAAACTAAGGGGACAGCAAGAATCACGCACAAAAGCATCTAAGTGCCCATAATTTTGGATGGTTTAGAATACAAATCAATGTCCTCTACATAGTTCGTAAAAGGCAAGGCAGTGGAAGATGAGCAAGGCAATAGCATAGTCAACTGTTAATCACGCATGTTCGAAGCTGTCACCCATGACCAAGTGGCATTAGATGCTGGCACGCTGAAGTCATGGGAGCGAAACCCGGTAGGGGTCCGCTTGGACGCACATCAAGGACGAGACCCAGAAGGTCGAAACGCCGGCGTCTGATGCTTTTTTAGACTAGCCTAAGCCTGCTGATTGGGAGTGACGATGATGAATTAGCTGATATATATATATATATATGATTGCATAGTGGTTACGTTGCGCTCTTAATATAACGATCTTCGTTTCAGTCGTACGTCAAGAGTGGGACCTAGACACACTACACATATTCACAAAACCGATTCTTATCTGAATCCTCGAAAAGTATGAATTCCCACACTTCTCCAAACTTGTTCTTGATAAACAAACTGAACTTTTTGCCATTAATGTCTGAGTCGTTTCGTCTGCATTTTCACCATAATTCTCAGAGTGCCCAAGTCGATGGAACCAAAATGGCAATCGGCGCGTCACTATGGAAGGTTGAATAAATGGGTACTAATTGGAAATGAAACAATGATAACCCGGCATCAGACCGCGCAAACAAGCAATCAAGCTGTAAGATGACAGAAAGCGTCTAGTGGTATCGGCGGTGTGCCATGGTACGCAACCTATCGAGTGAATTACAGGACCATCATCAGCAACAACAGTGCCAGCAAAAAGCCAGTAATTATAAATGATAACACATTGCTACGATATCGTCTTGCTTTTCTACGATGTTGAGGCGGCACAATCAACCCTGAATAGACTGTCCAGAGTGGTCCCATTATTTGGTATGCACTTCGCACCATCAAAGTGTAAAGAGTTGCTGCAGGACCACCAACCACTTGATGACCCCTTGACGCTTGCTAACGAGGAACTCGATGTGATTGATCATTTCACTTATCTTGGCAGCTGCATCAGCAATGGTGGGCGCATAGAAACTGACGTCAGCTCATGCATTGCAAAAGCCAGAGCTGCCTTCTTGAACCTGCGTCATCTTTGGCGACAGAAGGGAGTTTCCCTTCTTCTGAAAGGCCATGTACACAAGGCCACAGTGAGGGACGTTCTGCTCTATGGTAGTGAAACTTAACCCCTTCGGTCTGATGATCTGAGGCGCCTTCAAGTCTTTACTCATCGTTGTGTGCGAAGCATTGCTGGAGTCGGATTGCACCAGCGTGTCCGCAACGATGATGTGTGTAGGAGAGTACTAGGTAGTGATAATCATGCTAGCTCCCTAGAACAACAGATAGCACTGAACAAGTTGTGTTGACTCGGATACGTGCTACGTATGCCTGGTCACCGCGTACCTAGGAGGGCCTTGTTTAGTCTGCCAGGTGTAGGGTGGCGCAAGGCCCGCGGTGGACAGAAGTTGACTTGGCAGCGGGAAATGAAGACATTGATGACCAAACTGGGTACCGTTGGTCCGTCTCGCCTTCCGAGCTGGAGTCCACGTGACTCGCCTTGTGCTTGGCTCGAGACTTTACAGGACATGGCTCGCAGTAGACACCAGTGGCGCGTGTGCTGCCGCTCCTAACCGGATTGCCTGTTTATAGTGTGTTTGGTGCTGAGTTATCTGCGAAATAATAGGTGATTATGACGCGTGGCAGTAAAAGTTGCAACGAAGCTGTCTCGCCGATGCCGCCTTATCTTTGCATGATAGTCAGCTGTTTGTGACGGTATGTTGTCTACACAAGGTGTAGGCGCCTTGACCCGGAATGTTTGCTTAGGGCATTAAGGTTTTCAGGTAAGTCCCCCTTCTCTACCTCTTTATACTATTTATTTTATAGGTCATCGTGGTTGTATGGTAGCGAAGCATCAGTTCAAATGGCTGATGTACTGTTGTTGTTGTTGTTGCTACACAATGAGAATCATACAGTTGCAGTGGAGGAGAAACAAGTACAGGATTCAAATGCCTTGAGCAAAAATTCAAGGAGATGGTATCCACATCTCGCCAACAAAACACGGTCAGAAACAGCTGACAATCGTGTATGAAGATAAGACGGCATCAGCCAAAACGCTTCTATAGGATTTCCTCGCCGCGCGTCAACCCTGATCCGCCAATTACCAGCATCAGACACAGCATAAACCAAATAGTTCAACTTGGAGCCAGCAATAAATGCGGTACTGATGTTGGCTTTGTATAGTATTTGTATAGCAACCGTTCAAACAAAGATTGCTCGTTTAAAAGACGAGAAAGCGTCACAGTATCCAAGTTTGAAAAGCCCGCCGTCAGGATAGAAACACGTTTATAGAGTTAAACTTACTAAATCCAACCATTCCTAACTGCATAAATGCGTAGTATTTGGTATGATGATGAATCACCAAAAAGGAGCTTGTTTGCTAGATCGTCTTTTCATAAGTGTAACGGAAACCATCCATGTGAGGCATCCAGTTTGGCACCAGCAGTACACCGGGGCATTCATAGTCACTTCGTCTCTCTGAGACCACCGGAGGTTGTATGCGGGCTTGGATACTGCGATGTCAACCCCACCGATGCGGGTTCTAATGGGGGACTATTAGTGGGTCACAAAACATCTGAAGCATTTCGCTAACAAGCGGCAGTGCCTAAGTTATACAATACTAAATCTAGTAAAAAGTATCCTCTTCGGTAAGCGAAGAATCGGTGTGCGTTTTACGCGCTTAAGTCAATTCAACTTGTTCGAAAGTATTCGTCGCGCTAACGTACTAACCCAGTTATCGCCACCCAACAGTCGTTAGCGCACATCATCGTTGAGGACACGCTAACGACATTCGACGCCTGCACTGCTCTGAAAGCAACCGTCCTCAAAGAATCGAAAGGCCAAAGTTTCATATTATTACTCCACTAGAGATGAGTGCCAACTCCATTGTAGTCCTGCACGGCCTTTCAAACTGAAGGAAATCCTTCCTGACGTCACACCTGTAAAAGGTTAGAGGATTCGTAATAAGTGAGAAACTCTAGCAGACATAATTGTTACTGCAAGTATCTCCGGTCCCCCAAAGTCAGGAGTCAAGAAGTAATCAAGTGTCTGGAGGTCCTACAACTTTGAAGGCAAAAACTGCTTTTTAAATGAGGGGACAACTTGAGACTGAAACTTGTTTGGAAAAAGGGGTTTTCCTAGCACTGTTACCCATACAGCTCAGAGTGAACATGACTGACTGATAGTGATTGAACACTTCAAATGGTAGGTTTTGATCGATTGAATGTTTTGGACGAAGCGAATTCTGTGACCTCGGCTTACATGGTCTGAACAGCCAGCCGCGGGGTACTTTGTTTCGCCGGAGGCAATATACTAATGTGAGAAAGCGTTGCACTTCCTTATTCAGGGGTCGATTTCCTGCTCGTTGGGATTCTTCCTCATGAGCCGTTTCAGACTGATGTCATGCAGATACAACAGAGTTCAAGCACAGTTGATTGTGCAGTCATGACTGCCAAACAGCAAAACTACACCGACCGCATAACAGAGCAACCAGACTACCATCCGACAGCAGGTCAATGACCACATCGTGAGATTCCGCGTGGAAACATTCCATGATGAGGTCCGCGGCAAAGTGGAACAATGGACAAACAGTAACTTCCACTTGTTGTTGGAGAGATGTCAGACAATTCACCGCACGCCGTGTCATTAGCCTAAAAAATCTGGGTATAGAGCTAGTAAGATGTTCACAGTAGCCATGGGAACACGTCCAAGCGAATATATGTAACAGAACGGTACTACCGATGGAGTCAAACATGCCTAAGAAACGGATAAACATTGCTATTATTGACCAGTAGGGTAGGCATCTGTCACAGAGTGAAAATTAGGTCTGAAATTCATTTTCTATCCCCTCATCCGGCATGTACGTACAACATAAAGGCTAGGAAAAGAATAAAGACCAAAACTTTTGGTATTACTAGTAGTAGACTGATACCCCTGTAGTTAGGAGAGACGGTGAGCCTACCCTTTTTACATAGTGTCGATTTTCCCCCAAAGCTAGGACCATTCCTTTCACATCTTTAAAAACAGACGGATCAGTGCTTGACAGAGGACCACACCACCGTCCTTAAATAATACCAGTCCAGACCAGCAGTACAAGAACGATCAATGGCTGC